TCACATGTATAGAAAGAGGCAGAAGCAACAGGAAGGCGTCGGTACTTGCCACATAATTGGAATATATTGGAGAATGCGAACGGATGAAAAGGTGTGCCCTGGCCCCGTTCTAGCCCTTAGTTCAACATGAAGCTCGCGCGCTAAAGCTCCTTTTTACCTGGTTGGGCACTTGAGCCAAAAGTATATGGCATGTACCTATATAGCAACCATACTGGGACCTCATCCCTATTGACACCCCCCACATCCGTACTTCGACGGGGAAGGGAGATGAGTGGATGTAAACAAAAACCGGAGAACGGATCACGTTCTCAAAAGTGTATTGGAGGTCAACCAGTATGTCCTATTGAACCGAATTAGCAAACGATCTTGCATTCGCTTGAAAGTTGGATCAAACAGGTAGTGGAGCTACAAGCGGAAAACGTGCACCTACCTATGGTATCATGCGATTACCAGCGGTGTGAAACACAATCCTATCTCACTCCCATGATGCCAAAACGGTCACCATGAATTACCCAAGATCCCTCAGTACACGAAGTACCAGAAGTGGCATGTCGGTATGACCCCAATGCTCAACCATTCGTGAGTTGCCGCATATAGTCAGCGCCGACAAAGCCAATGTAGTCCTTGATGAGCTCAACGTTCCTCGGATTTCCCGCTCGGATCTGCTCCTCGAAGAACTTCAATTTCTGTGCTTGGATATCGGATACCTCTATGCCATAGTAGCGGCATGCAACGAGGATCTCCTTCGTGACATTCTTTCGCTCCGATTTGATGGCGGGGCTAATGTCGATGAATTTGTATGGAGCGGCACTTTCGTCATCTGGTTTCTGGTAGTAACTATATCGGCTCGCTCCGAAGGTCTTCCTGATCAAGCGTCTGATGAAATTTGAGATGAATGCCAGTTTCTCGATGATCTCTTCCTGGGTCTCAGACCTTCGAGCCTTTGGATCACTCATGTTACGCCGAGTGCTGCCGACCTCTTTGAGGTACTTGTGGCTAAGCCCGCAGCGGATTGCAGTGATCATCATCGGGTGAACAACGTGGGCGTGGAATTCATAGATCTGCCACGCTTCTGTTGCATACACGTCGTTGGTCCATTTGCTCATGCCTACGACCTCGGCTCTCTGGAGACGTCTTGGAAACCCAGTATCCGGATCATTCGGTACTATTGGCCATCTATTGTATGGAGTGTCATGCCGCTGTCCATCGTCGAACTTTCGCAGTACGTCTTCACGACTTTCAAAGCAGTTGATGTCGAACGTCGCGTTGGCCAAGCTCTTGATCAACTTCATCAACCTCAGATCAAATTGCTGTGTGACTGCAAAGTTGTGGTCAATGGGGATCGCAGCTTCTTGTGGCAATTCGTCGATTGCGAAGGGGAAAGGCTGCGGAAGTTCATTCCCGTATCCATCTTGAGGGACCTCCCGATATTCGGGTTCGCCTTCAGCTTCGTCCGGTCGTTCCTTCAAAATGATAGGAACTTCCTCCTCTTCCTCTCCTTCGGATTCCTCGACCTCAATGACCTCTTCGGCTGTCTTGCGTGCATTCTTGATGACTTCATCGATGTTTGCACCTGCAGCAGAAGTTGCTTCACCGGAAGAACTGGCTGGGACATCTTTCGGAGGCGATCGTTGATTGCGGTCCCTTGTCTCCTTGGGTACCACATGCGTGAGTTTCCCATTCGCGATCAAAACCGCTACGCAGTGCGGACATATCGTCAACCGCACATCGACTTCGCCAAGACAGTTAGGACACGGCCTTGAGTCATAATCTTTCATTGCCCGGCGGTACACGATCTCCTCAAAGATTTCCTGCCGCTCGGTGCTATCATATTCTGGGTAGACACCACTCTCCTCGATCATACCTAACAGTTTTGAGATTTTGGCGTCGTCCTCGGAGTAGGTATCATCCTGAACCTCAACCGCTAAACTCTCAAGCTTCTGAAAGCGTGGGATCATGATCGGGTTTCCGTATTTGGACTCCAGAACAAGGTAGCTTCCAGGGTCGGGTTCCCTATTGAGTAACCTGATCCATTCGATCTCCTCAGGCTGTCCGGGTTCCGCATTGTCGCATTGCAACCATGCCCCTTTAACCTCATCGAAGGGAACGACGTTCTCAACCAATAGAGAGCCAGTCGCTGAGATGAGAAGTCCGTACTCCTGCAGCTTCCACACCGGAATGTAGAGAACCACTGGGCGATCACTCAATGCGACCTTACGACCCAGCCAAGGTTTTCCCTTGTAGCCCTGCTCCCAGGCCCATGGCGGAAAACATGTGAAGTGGATAGAATCCCTTCCCGATGAACCGAGACCTCCTGGCACTAGCCCCCGTCGCATGATTGAAGTCAGCGCTCCAAGATTGGTAGCGTGAAATGCTGTCACCATAGATAGGGCCATGTCGTTGGTCATTCTCGATCCAATGTGGTCGATGTTAATGGTAACGTCATAACCTCCGCCGTCCGTTGAGTGTGCTGAGGTTGCTCTTACGGCCACGGGAAAGCACCATCCATCGCTGTGGTGGAGTCTTCCTTTAGAGATTCCCATGCCCTTGAGTTCGTCAATCCATTCCTTCTCCATCGGGTCATCAGGGTCATTGAGTTCGTCAGGGTGAACGCGGACCGCCAACATTTGGAATCTGATCCTCTTGGTTATGCGGAAACACTCATAGTTCTGGTCGAAGTACTTCTCCAGACGCGCCTTCTTGGTCACGGTATCTACGTTGCCGTAGTGATAACCGTCTTCCCAAACTGCATTATCACCTAACAGGTCTTCCCACGACACCCATGCGCCTTCATCGCATTTGATTGGTGCGAGTCTTCCACCTGTCCTGAACTGGCGTCCAATTCGATGTCTCAACTTCGCTCCCAATCGACGACTCAGGGCTTGGCTCGCTTGGCTGTATTCAGGTACTCGACAGTATGGAGTCGGATACTTGTGGTTGCCGTAGTCGGAGTTCGTTGCAGCGAAAGTGACTCCGTTGATCGGTACTAGTTCAACTTTCCCGACCATCGTCATGGGGTCGATCGGCTTGTATCCCTTCTCCCTCCGTGTCGGTAGGGGATAGAAGTGATGACATGCCTTTGGTGCGAGGGAACTGGAGTGCACAAATGCCTTCTCTACGAATTCGTACACCACCCTCATATCCCTAGGGCCTACTTTCGCAAGCTTCCGCCCATTGTAGGAATGTGTCCCTCCTTCGACTCCATCAGCACTTTCGATCAAGGTGAATCCGTCATGGTCGAACATTGTCACGACTCTTGCTTTCAACATTTCTTTTCGCCTGAACTCGCTGTCGACCTTCCTATCTGGAGTAGGCGATGCTCTCTGCTTCTTCTTCTTAGGCTCCTCGGTCGGATGTCCAGATGGTACATCGTCGGGTGCAACCTCTCCCTTCACTCTCTTCTTCCAATCACTCAACACTGAGGTGACTGTAGGTGAAGATGAAGGGGTCTTCTCGCAATTGAGAGTTGTGTGTCCCGACTTCATGCAGTGGATGCAGAATTCTGCTTGCCCGATCTTCTCCTCAAATTCGTCGATGGCTTGCAGTATTGATGTCTTCGGGTCGGACATGTCAACGTCTTGCTCCTCCTTCTCCTGTTCAAATTCAGTCTCCATATCGACACCTTCGGCCTCGGGCTGGTCAGTAGCCTCTGTTCCCTGTTCTGGTTCTTTCCCAATTTCGAAGAAGTGGTCGATGTCGAATTCAGGAGGCGGCATGGTCCTCATGCGAACGAGAATCAGTGCCACGTTTGCCGCCTCTTCAGAGTGCGGGTCCAAGGTCCTGATCGTCGATCGCTTTCGGTTCTCATACGTTGTCCTGTCGTACAGCGATGCAGTGACGCGCTTGATGGATTCTTCTAATCCCGTCCTCAAAGCTTCGATGTCACCCCATCCCTTGAACATGTGCCTGAAGAGTTGAGCGATTTCGAACATGCCCAGCAGCGCTTCCAC